ACTTTGAATGAATACTGTGCTATTCTCAATTTTAATTATTTTTGAATAAATATTCAAAATCCATGCATTTCTGAAAGATCCGTGTTACATTTTAAGGTGTATTTAGTATGATCACATGAAAGATATAGAGATAACGAACACTATTCAATATACACGTCCAAAAAACAATGCAAAATGGAGTAAAGCAAACAAGGACCTCCAATACATCAGCGGTGGGATCAGGTGCCATGTAGGAGCATCCCCTGCCGACCAGTCACACCCGCCGTGTGCTCCTTGACATGATCAAGGAATAACGGGAAAATCCGTCTTCAATTCTGTGTTTAAATATTGGACTAACAATAAGTAACAATAAATATATCTTCTTTGAATGTTACAGTTAAGACTGTTAATGATTTTTGTAAACACGCTGGTTCAAAAGTTAATTTAAGCAAAACACAATGTATATTATGAGGCAGTCTTAAAGATAAAAACACTAACATAGATTGATTGATTATATACTGTTTAACGTCCCTCTCCAGAATATTTCACTGATATGGAGACGTCACCATTGCCGGTGAAGGGCTGCAAATTTAGGCCTATGCTCGGCACTTACGGCCTTTGAGCAGGGAGGGATCTTTATCGTGCCACACCTGCTGTGACACGGGGCCTCGGTTTATACGGTCTCATCCGAAGGACCACCGCATTTAGTCGCCTTTTACGACAAGCAAGGGGTACTGAGGACCTATAGCTATTCTAACCCGGATCCCCACGGGGCCACTAACATAGAAGGCATACAGGTAACAAATGATGCTGTTCGATGTTTAGGTATACATGTTGGCCATAATAAAATTCAATGTTATGAATTGAACTGGTTAAAGACTTTTCAAAACATGGAAAAACTCTCTGAATCTTGGCAAAAAAGAAAATTGACAATTTTGGGGAAATCATGTGTCGTTAACTCTTTAGTTACGTCTCAACTTATCTAGGTGGGTTCAATATTACCAATGCCCGATCCCGAACATATTCGACAAATTAAGAGAAGCATATTTATCTTCATATGGAATAAGCGCGATAGAATTAAAAGAGATACTGTGATCGGAAAACAGGAAGATGGTGGAATAGGTGTAAAAGATATTGAATTGAAATTCAAGGCCTTAAAGGCGGCATGGACTAGATACTTAATAGAAAAAACTGTATAATCGGCGAAATAGTTCGAGGATATTTAAATCGTCTTAATATTGATATCAATTATCCATTAACATTATCGGAGACAAAACTCCCAGATTTTAAAATCATTTCAAACCTTCCGATTCTTTATAAAGAAGTATTCTGCAGTTTTAATTGTAAAAGATATATCGATGAAACTAAATTGTCTAATGTAAGTTTTGCTCAACAAACAATATGGAATAATAATATGTTTAAATATGAAAACAAAACAATTTGTTTTAAAAATTGGATCAAAAGTGGGATAACACAGGTTAAAGACCTTTTTAACAAAAATGGAAAATTTAAAAGTCTACAAGAATTGTCCTTTGATTTAAAACAAAAATCGAATTGGATGTGTGAATACAAAATATTTAAAAAAAAAAACAGCAATCTATAAAAAATCTTTACGATTCAATATGACTTGTTGTGCATACATACAGAATATACGGAAGTGTTGTTTTAATTTTGTCAATGGTGTATATTGTATTGAAGATAAAAATGTAATTTCTTTTACGATAATTTACTCTCTATAAAATTCAAAGCTCCAAGCCATCAATTAATGTTTAAAAAATTATTTTCTGTTGCCCAAGAGAGTTGGAAGGATATACATGTATATAGAAACAAGGTTAAAGACAACTATGACAAAAGAATATGTGAATTTAATAACAAATTGTTGAATAATACATTGTGTTGTAACAATTTTCTTTTTAAATGCAAATATAGAGCATCTGCTTTATGTAATATGTGTGATGAAATTGAAGATATTAGACATTTACTTTTTGATTGTGAACATCTTCATATCCTACGGAAAAAGCTGAGTTTATGTGTTAAATTTTGATTTACAATGGAAGCATGTGGTCCTAGGTTTTTATTTTGAACGGAATTCCAAAATACAAATTCTAAATACCTTTGTGTCTTTCTTAGCACATAAGATATATAAATTTAAAATGTTTTGCAGACTTCAGAACAAAACTGAAACAAAAGATATGCTATTTTCTTACGTAAAAACAAATATTAAAAACAATATGGACATTTTATTGAATTTAACAAAAACGCACTTGTTTAAAAATAAGATGGTGACATTTGTAGAAATGCTTTAATTAATATATGTTGCTCTGTTACTTTTGTAAAACTAACTATCCTGACCCGGGTTAGTTAGAAATTGTAAACGGGCTTGCATAATGATTAATAAATTTATTTTTAAAAAAAAACAATCTGTATGAAATACGTCAGTAAGCATTTGACTCATTGATAAATTGTATCTGTAATTTCATATGCAAAGAATATCACATAAAGATGGTTATTCGGACGGAAGACCTCGCGTTGCTTGCAAAAAGTTTCTAGTTATTATTATTTTAGATGCATTATTGTGTTTCTCGAGTTTTAGAAAAATCTGAGAACTAACTTGCACTGGATTTAGCAGTTACTAATGTACATCGTACAATATGCTCTAAAATTAAATATGCTTAATAATGTATATCTACTATGTACCGTATGTTGATGATCATTAAAGAAAGGGGCATTTCTTATTCTTTGCAAATTACTTTTCTTTTCTAGTGATGTTTATATTGTTTAAATTGAATTAAAATTGCTAATTTTACATGTAGCTGATTGATTTGAGACGCTTTAACTTCATTTTAAATAAACTGTATGTTGTCCAAAAAATATCTTTGTTTTGGATTTTGTGGAGTGTGTTGAATTCTCTAGCATACAGAAAACGATATGGGTACCTAAATTTTGTTTTGTTTTGTTTTTTTTTTTTTTAGATATCAATCGACCACATTTGCACATTTAGGTACTGTGGTTTCATCAATATTTGTTGAACACCAATTTTCGAGGATTTCGTTGCTGAGCAGATCCACGAATTTAAATGTTGATTGCATTAAGAAATATGTTGTTTATCTGTATCGGCAAAGCTTTTGTCCAAGAAATTACGTATCCTCGAAAATGCACGAAAATTGATGCCAACAAAATTGTTGAAACCACAGTATGTAAGAGAAAAGTAATGCTGGATGCCTACTCCTCCTAGGTACCTTAACTAACCTCTGGTAATTCCGAGGGGTCTGCGGTTTCCTCTGCATATTAGCGTATATATGAGTGTAAATTTTAGAGAGACGCACATTTAGCGATTCGTCCTTAAGAATTGGTACTTTAATTTTAGCGAGATGTAATTTTAGCGATTTTAAAAGCTCACTAAAGAAGCTATTCCACATCAAGTTCAATTACTTTTCAGCGATATTTAATTCTAACGATCTTGGCACCCTCGCTAATAATGACGAAATTAAATCCTCGCTAAAACTTATGTTTATATATGATTCATCACAGATCCTTAGCTAATCTATCAAAGCGCAAAACTCACTTTCTCGTTTAAGTTAAATTTCAGTCAAGGCATTACGAGTTTAAAATGACATACCTTAATCCATAATTGATAATAAACCTTTGAAGTTCCAAACATGATGTGTAAACACCGAAAAACATCAGAGCAGTTTAATTTGCGCAGAATATTTTTTCCAGATCGATGTCTTTCATTTCACATACCTTGTAACTTTAAGATTTAAACAGACGTTTGATTCTTGTTGCAGTTGGTACCCCCCCCCCCCCCAAAAAAAAAATGAAGTACAATAAGGGGTTCATCATTTAGGGCCCATTTTCTAAAAAGTTTATGCACACCCCTAAAATGGCTATAGCATTAGCTCGCTGAGCCTTTGGCTCAGTGGAGCTAAAAAGAGGCTGTGGGTCACATCGCTCACCTAAGCATATTACATGTAGCTAGAAAAAAAAAGCAAAAATCAATTCATAACTTAGAAGTTTATATGGGGAGGGGGACTTAAATTTATAATTATCTGATATGCAACAAATGGCTATTCCTGAACCGAAGATTATTTTCTTATCTATTCATTTATAAAAGTTTGATCTCCCATTGTGGCTTACCCTATCCACGGGGCCCTCATTTGAACCAATTTGATTCTACACTACCTGAGGAAGCCTCAATATCAATATGACTAATCATGATTTTTTCTCTTCTTGAGGAAAAAAAGATTTTTTTCTTTTATATATATTATTTTATATTTTATATTGGATATTTTTTGTTTCTTAAGTAAGGTAACTTCGTAATATTTAATTTGTTTAAATATATCTCCCATGCATATGAGAGACCAAATCATCATCTTAAAGTAAGGAATGGGTCATTATCACTTCTCTGCAATATATCAAACATTAACCTTTTGGCTCTGAAAATGTTCAAAAATGGAATTTTCAGGTAGATATTAGGGTATGGTAACATGGTGGTAACATGGTGACCGTGACATATAGCAACCAGAAACTTGAGTTAACTTTAACGGTATCAAAGATTATTCCTCATCGAGAGTTTTTTTTTTTTTGAAAATATGCATGCCATAGTACAGAAACTATGCATGAAATAGTACAGATCGTATAACAAAAGTCAGGTCATCTACTCATATGTTTATTTGCTCTCTCCCCACCGACTCACTAAAATTGGCCCCATTCAAAATCTTTCATGTCAACGAGACGGCGTTTCTCTCTTTTTATTTCTGAATTTTCTCATCCCGTCAATATGTAATAAAAAATCTTCCTGGTTACTAATTTTTTTAACCTTGAGTTGAAAGAGGGTAGGGCCAACCATTAATTTAAAAAGGCCTAAGTTAGTGTAGTATATGGAGACAGTATTCAAGTTCAATCGTCCATTCAGACAATACAAATTAGGAACAGAGCAAACACAGACATCAGAGGTGGGATCCTAATTCTTAAAATAAAACTTTCAAACAAACACTGCAGAAAAGAGGGGAACAAGTGGCACTTTTGGATTTTATTATGACTGTCTTAGCATACAAAATAAATCAACCATTTTTTCTCATTTTCATGGATATACACATATACAGTAAACAAAACATTAAACCGGGAAGTCAATAAAATTAAATTTCTGTGAACTGAAAATTAAACTTCACTTATAATACAATATGCATATTTAAATGTACATATACATGTATACTGCACAATAGTATACAATAAAAATGTACATATAACATTTTTACAATAAAAATGTAAATATATAAAAATTTTCGAAGTAATTCACATGAACCTTGTTTCATAGAATGTAAAACGGAATGTGTCGTGTAATATCAAAATTGCATCAATGGTATTATGTCACTAGTTTCAACTGCATCAAGCATATAAATACTTCCTTTCCTCAACTTTATCCAAATACTGCTTTATCTAGTCCCAAGAACTCACAGGCGTTGTTTACCAATAAATTTTCCTGAAGAAACAAAGTATGTCTTTTCTGTTTAAACTCTGCATTAATTTGCAAGGTTCTCCATGAGCAATTTTACTGTGTCGGCTTCAACACAGAAATTAAATTCTCTCTGAATCTTTAATCAAACAAATCTACCTTCTTTTAATTTTTAAGAAAGTGCACTTAATAATCTTTTAATTAGGGCAATTAGTCTTGCTTCACCTTATATTATGTAATCGATTATTATTTCCCTCGCTTGATTGCACGCCTGAAGGAACAAAGACAAATCTCTTTCACACTTCCATGATACTGTATACTGTAAACCAACTTATATCCGTGAAGACTTTATTTCACGATTTACTAACAGTAAACTAAAGGGTGTTAAGAAAGTTCGTTCCACATTTTTCTTTTATTTTAGAAAAGAAATACGATGAGAAGATATTTACAGTTTGTGAGACTTCATGTTTACAGAGTCCATTCTTGTTACTGATAAGGTTTTAGCGGTCTATTGTTGAATCAATAAGGGGAGGGCAGGTATTAAAACAGATAATGTCTTTTCAGAAAAATTAGGGATGATGCATAATTGTGACATATATTAAGCACACAGGTCAAACCGTCCTTTCAAATACTATGCAAAAATTATCAGATCTGTGAAAAATTTCAAAATGACAAACCAATTCTTTTAAAAAGTGATCTATCGTTCTAATACCTACACTCATAAGCTTGTCTGATGCAAGATAAGCTATGAAGAAACAAAAGTAAATTATCCTTTATTTTCACTCAAAATGACCAGCATTTTTATCATTCGGGTGCTTCAAAGATGTTATATATAATTTCATATGAAAGAAAAGTCCTATAGTTTCCTGCTAGAAATTAATTTCTATAAATCTAAAGAACGCTCTTGTGATATTGTCAGACTTGAAAATTCATCGCTTTAGTTGAGCACTACTTTGAAATTTTTGAAAATATTTCATCATGGAACGAACTTTTTTAACACCCCTTAGTTTGTAACGATTAATTTTCATGATCAAGATTTTTGGAAATGTTTTAATAGACACAGAGACTTTAAGGACCGGTTCGTGACGAGAAATATTCAAGATGACGAGCTCTCTCAAACCTCAGGAAAATTTCTCGCAAGGGAATAAAAGTTGGTTTACATTATTGCAAGTTGCACTTTTGATCCCAATAATATCACGAATATTAGTGCTTCACCAAAATTCTGCAACACAGAAAAGATTCAAATGATGGGAAACTCTGTTATGCATTATTTTTTGAGAATACAGCATAAGCAATAATGGTCATCAAACTACAAGTTGGTTTGGTTCCCTTAAAAATTAAGAAAATGCTTCAACTCCAAACGTGTTTGCCATCCAGGTGTGCTTCTCTTTGACACCTCTGTGTGGCATACAAAGCCATAAAGTATAATTACCTTAAGACTGTGGTCAAACTCCATAGATTCAATTAATTTTCCTGGGTGGTGCTCACCAAGTGGAAAAGGGTAGTCTGATCCCATTATAACTCGATCCTTAAAAAAAAACCAGAGGTCTTAACCTTAGACTGAATGGCAAGACTTCATTCTTCTAGGTTTCACAATTAAGAAGTAAATACATGTATGGTTAAATAAAGAAAACAAAATCAAACTCAACACTAAACAAGAGGTGTTTGTAAAACAATTATGTCCCCCTCCCCCAAATAGGAATTTTTCCAAGTCCAAGTGGCATAAATCTGTCAAAAATTGTACCCAAAACAGAACTTGACCTAGGTGTTTGATAAATCTGTACATCAAATTTCATTCAAGTATGTGCAACAGTTGTGGTGAAAATGAACTGAAACTAAGTGAAATGACAGTCCGACCGACAGACAGCAGCAAAGCAAATGCCCTCCTTTCTTCTAAGGAGGGGGGGGGGGGGGCATAAAAAGTTGATACCTTGCCTATAACATCAATTAGTAGTTCCAGAGCTTTGGCATCATGGACAAGGGCATCTGTGTAGAACTGACCAAGGAATTTCCGAGGGTTTGTTTTGCAGTCTGTGGCACAGAGATCTGGACGGACATTATAACCGTGTTCTATACGACCCACAGTGAAGGGAAAGGCCCCTCCTGTAAATAAATTAAATTGTTTTACAATGAATGAAAGGGTAGGCATGTGAATTGATGTCATTTTTATTTATATATAAATATAATAATGTAAATACAAATGAATATCATAAATATTTAATAGCTTTAATCTACGATATCTTTGTGGAATGAAAGCATCTTTCAAGATCAGAGAAATCTCTTCTTCTCTTTCACCCTCTATCTACATGTACAGTACTGTAAATACAACGATGTATTTAAAATAAAATATGTAAGATCTTCAAGTATGAAGCCTCTTTAAGAATTTCATCATCTTCATAAATCTAGGGTGTGTCAATAAACATAAATTTTGCAATTAGTGCAATCCATGGTATTATTTTCAAAAATAATTACCTCCGTGTGCAAAACAAACTTTGAGTTTAGGAAACTCCTCCAAGACTCCTCCCATCAGCATACAACAGATAGTTGTGGCAGTCTCTGAGGGCATTCCTTTCATGACAACAGAAATTTTAGAAAGAATATGTACAATATATTCCTGTATGGATTTTTTCCTTCCAAAGCAACCTGTGCTATTCTGTATTTATCATATGACATTGGGACTTACTCTCAACATTTGTAAATATTTGCTGAATAATGGAAGAGAATATTTTATAATAATTATGCTATGTCACAGTAAGAGAAATATCAAGTTTATTCCTAAATTTTAATTTTAAATTACTGACCTACCAACCAAGGCAGCCAATATTTCTTCATTCGTCCACTCAAGTCCATATCCCAGGGGTGTACAAAGATGGACACATTATGCTTCTCAGCAGCCTGACAGAAAAATTAATTTACAAGGAATATCATCATAGACTGAGAAAATCAGATTTAGGGGAAGCAATTCAATATCAGAAGAACATTCAAGCTGATGCCAGCAATGCAGTGATTTGGTTTAAAATATATGCAGTGTATAGCACCCAAGACTCTAGTACATGGATTCCACATCCTGCATCATCTGGCCATGGCAAGATTAGAACACCCAGGTAATACTTGAGGTAAATCTATGCTGTCCAACATGTGCAAAGAAATCATTCACTCCAAAAAATAAAGGTCGGAGTCTAAGTATTTAGAGCATGAATGACAATGTCTGATTATCCAAGCAAATTTGTTCCAGGGAGGGCTTTAAAAGCTACTTGCAATTCAGCAGTTCTAACACAACATGGTGAATAATTTAAAAAATCTCCTTGATGTCTCATGATTATGTGAAACCGACAGATTCCTAGATTATACTCTGTATACAGGGAAATTTTCGCCCCCGTTTTATTTTTGCCTCTTTAGCCCTATCCTCATTTGGGTGAATTCAAAACGGGGCGAATTCAAATAATACAGTATAATTTCTTTGAAAAAAAACTATTATTGCGTGAATTTAAAACACGGCTAAATTGTTTGCAAGTATGAAAGTCAAAAATAACACGGGGCGAAAATAACCCTGTATACAGTATGTATAAGCCTATGCCAAGATTATGTAGGAACTTTGGCCACTTTTTCAGTATATACATATATGTATGTACATATACAAAGCTAAGAACTTGAGCTTCAAAAAATTATGACCTTGGAATTTTTTAAATCTTCTTTCATGACCAAAATTCATCCTAATAACTAACAATTTTCAAAAAAATATTTCTACATAAAAAAATATGCACAAGAAAAATACCGTACTTCTAATCAATGTGACCCAAACCTTTGCCATGTCCTAATAAACTTTCTTTTTTAGTCAGAACATGTATAGAGGGAAAACACTATCAGTGAACTTCACTTACTGCAAATATTGGCCTTAATTCTGCTGCATCCAAATTCCAGTCATTAACGTGAGATCCAATTTGGACACCATTAAAACCTATAGGGAAATGTCATGTTCTTTTTATTATCATAACAGCTTTATAAAACAATATTCAAAGCATTATTTTAAAATCACAATTTATCTTATCATTTGCAAAAAGTAATTTTGTAAATAAGCTGTTTTTCTTTTTACACAATCATACAAAATCTGATTTATAAAACTCACAAACATACAGTATGTTACAAAGTACTGGATGTCTTGTTGGATTGACACTAAATCTCATTCATCTTAAAAAAATTATTTCCTGTTCATACTGACCTAGTTTTTTTTTTGTAATGACCTATTTTTTGTTTCCATTGACCTAATTCCTGCAGTCCACAGTGTCTTGCATGTAGTTTCTGTTTCCATTGATCTATTTCTAGCTTCCACTAACCTGTTTCCTGTCCCTTGACCTACTTCTTGTTTCTCTGACCTAGTTCCTATTTACACTGACCTAGTTCCTGTTTACATCTGATCAGTTCTTGGACAGCCAGATCAGGGGCTTGCATTGGAAGTGTCCCCAGTCCTACAAATCTCTTTGGGTACTTCTTCACAGATTCTGCAATGTCGTTGTTTAAAATCTGACAAAGATCTAAAGTGTCCTGTGGCTTTGCCTACAAATTCAGATATTATGATTATGTAATTAAAGAACAAATGGTTTGGCTTTTCATTTCAGAAAACACGAGGACACTTTATAACAACTTTGATTCAAATTAGTCAAAGAATTCTTCAGGAATAAGTCAAATATGTAAAAAGTTTTGAAATAAAACAATGCAAGACAAGAGACACTATTTAATATTAAAGAAAAGCTCACATCAGCCTGTAACACAAGTGAGCTAAAATATAGAAAAACAAGAGGAATATACCAAGACTTTATTATACATGTATATTAGTACTTACCCAATAACTAAACATAACAGGAACTGTAGATAGGGCCTGTACAGTCACACCTAATAAAGAGAAAAAATATAGGACATATATTACATACTCATTTAATATTTATCGTGTTCATTTAAAAGAAAAAAAATATATGTTGGTTATAATACTTTCTTTTTCCATTATGGAAGAGTTATAGATCTAAGTGAATATGTCTGAAATGTACATATCTTTGCAGAATCTCTGGGATGAACATAACACATACAATGTATGTATCATTTTATTGTATGGTTCATATACCATGCACATGCCTCAGAAATGTCTTTTTATTTTATTAATGGATGATAAATTTAGGGTTCTTGCTCTCTTACATATTATGTCTCTTAGTTCTACTGGATAGACATTGTCATGTCTTGTCCTTTCCGCAATGTCATCCTGTACAAAACAGAAGACCAAATGTAGCTCTAGTTTCAAGAGTTCCACTGTTGGAAACCAAATGTTTTGGTTTGTATGTTTCTATGCAATTTAACGTCCCTCTTGAGAAAATATTATTAATCAAATGGAGACGGCACCACTTGCAGGTGGAGATCTGCAAATTTTATCCTACACCTGATGGCACTTACAAACGTTAATAAGTGACGGATCTTTTTCTTGCTGGCACCTATTGCCACATTGAACCTCGGTTTATACAGCCTCATCTGAAAGACTAGCTGCAGAACTGTAGCTCTCAGATTTTTTATTTTTTTGACAGACTTGAGAGCTACAGTGCCACCCATTCACTGGCATTGTTTAAACTGTATATTTATTGCGCCTAAAAAGTTGCGCTCAGTTCTGAATTAATTCTTCCAAATCCTTAGCTCAATCGCTAAAAAGACAGATTTCTTAAAATTCCTCACTCCTCTACCAAGTTCTCACGTAGTTGACATCTGCACGAAGTGCATTAGACTGAGTTATCTTTCAATCCAAAATGGCAGAATGAATAGACAAAATTTTCGATGATTTCAATTTCAGGGACTGTGAGGAGGGAAATAAACAGCAATTATAAGGAATGTTTTGTTGTGGAAACATTGAAAGACTTATGTTAGAACACACGTTTAGTAGGGGTGGGACGATATACCGATACACCGATACATATCGATATTTTCCTTGAAGATACGGTTTACGATACAAGCATTCAAATATCGGTACGAAACGATACACGTACAACCTATCCAAAAATTGAAAATGAAAGTACCTGTCCTTGGAAAATGGCGGCTTATACGAGCGAAGAGATGATGTTGATATTGAAAACACACTTTAGAACTAATAAGTCGTTGGTTAGAGGTAAAACGTTTTCACTTTTAAGCAGCCTCGGAAGATTGGTCGGAAGATTGGACAAGAAAAGTTCAGTATGTAATGCGTGCTTTACACAGAAATTAATTGTTAGTCCATCTTGTACTTTTTTTGTAATCTCAACTTGGCTACAGACTTTCAGCAATGAATTAATAAAAATGTAAAATTAAATGTGATCGATGTTTTTTAAATGAATTTTTAGTCAGTGTTCTCTGATATAAAACTACCCAACTATTTGTAAAGAACTTCTGAATATAATTTGGTAATAATAGTATGTGCATGTATTATTGTTTTTGTAAAGTTTTAGTCAATGAAATTGATGAGCTTCAAGTATAAATTTCAAAGCAAACATGATTTGATAGAAAGTAATTTGTTGATTTAATGTCAAGACAAAAAAAAGAAATAAAATTCTACCGGTAATTCTTTTGAATAGTTTTATAATTTCTTATAATATCGAGATACGTATCGTATCGTGCCAATATATCGAGATACGTATCGTATTGCAAGATGTGTGTATCGTCCCACCCCTAACGTTTAGTTATATTTTGATATGACAGTTTTAAAAACATGGTGGAATAAATCAAGAATCAGCGCCCTTTTTTGTGCGCAATAAATACACAATTTTTTCAATGGGTGGCACTGTAGCTATCTGGTCTGTCAATATATTTTTTCCGAGAGCTACAGTTCTGCAGCTACCGAAAGACCTGTCTCCACGTCCCGCAGAGGGATTTGAACCCGCGACATAAGGATAAACTCCTTACTCTGCAACTCTAGAGCAGAGGCTCTTACCACAGTACCACGTGAGGGACCAAACATATTTTTAAAAATTATATTCATTTGACCTGTGTTATCCATATCCCTGATTCTCGCCTCTGGTGACCAGCAGTTCTCCTCCACGGTCCGGAAAAAGTTTCCGTCTTTCATCATGTCTGCTTTACCTGCACACTTATGATGTAGCTGAATCCATCCTCCATATCCATAGCGCTGTAAATCAAAAATGTTTCAAGATAAAATCAACTTAAAATCTCATTATCATGGTTATGCGAACATATATTATAGACCCTTTCATGATAATTGTGGTACTACTCTTTTGAAAGGCAAAATTGCATATTTTGGTGAAATATGGCGTAAAAGTAATTGTCTTAATATATACGTCACTTAATTATCTATATACAAAAACTTTGCCAACTGTTATTAATTTGCCCTGCAAAAGAGTAGGCCTAGTACCGCAGTTATCGTGAAGGGGCTAATTAAAGAAAAAAAGCTCCAATTTCCATTTAAAACAAAACTCTACTGGGAAAAAATCAACGACGCAGGTAGTTACTAGTATCATAATATAGATTTATAAAGCTATTTATCCTGTTATCTGAAATTTTACAAGATTTTTTTCTGACAAAAACAAGTCAGTAAAATTTTACTTTATTTTTGCATGTGAATAAGATCCTGTGATTCTATGCAAGTGTGTCACAAATAACACAATGAATTTAAAATTGAAATGAGGTTGACCGGTTGACAAGTGTATCCTTACCTGTCTTAACTAGCATGACTAATATATGAGAAGTATAACCAAAATTCATCTGCATACAAATTTCCATTTCAAATCAACCATGGAAGTTTCCTCTTTTGTTATAAACTAGTAAATCCATGTGTATGAAAATTTTAAAACGTTGTGTCTGATGTTCAATCATAATAATATGCAGATTTGTACTACATGCAGTGTGGCAGTATAAGTTTATACTGCTGTACTGTACATGTATGTACGAGTACAAACACACATTGTTTGCAATGCTGATCATATTGTCAAGCTAAAATAAATAACATTCCCAAATGTCCCATGTTGTCATTCTCCTGATCTTACCTCTTTTAGGTCTGGCCAGTTCTCGGGTAAAATGTGACTGTGTATGTCGATCTTCATTCTGGCAGCGCAGACTAGTTTGCTTATATTTAGGTGAAGGTCGTCAGTTTCTATTGACCAATCATATTACGATATTTCGTAGGCGAGGCATTAAATCACAGAACTGAAAGTACTGCAGGATCACAGGTAGTCTACAATGTTAAAATATTTTAGTCTTTGCGGGTTTCGCCAGGAATTAATTAATAAAAGTTCATGCATATGTGTGATACTTAACTCACACGGAATAAGCATCTTTTTTTATTTTATTTTATTTATTTATTTTATTCATTTTTTTTTTTGGGGGGGGGGGGTCGACATGTATTTGATATATCGATCTAGAAAAAAAGAATGAAAGAGAAATTGGCAAAAAGCACACTCGAAAATCCAAATTCCAATTTGTGAGAGGGGGGATTTAAATTTTAAAGATCACATTCATTCTATGGAATTTTTTTCCCGCAGTAACTTGGACTCATAATGTACATCTACATGAAACATCTTAAAAAGTGCGTTGAGCTGTATTGCATATAGTAAGCTTAGATCACAGGTGCTTGATCTGAGGACAGGACCCCACTTCGATATAGACCCCTGGGCTTTAAAGACTTTTTTCTTATAAATAATGTTTCATTGAGATATTTCTGATAAGATATATACCAACAAACTACCTATTAAAACAAACGTTGTTTAAAATCTACCCAACATTCTATATATAAAAATCAACTTATATAATATAGAGTGGGGTAGAAATTTTATAAAATGTTAGTTTAAGCAAATTTTCTGAATTGATAGGATAGATTATATCACAAATGTTTTATCCATATATAATTTATGTGAAAAAAGTCGAACATGCCAGGGGGTCTATATGGGGGGGGGGGGGGCTGTCCTCAAGCACCTGTGGCTTAGATAACTATTTGGAAAGTGTAGCTTGTGTTTTGCATTTTCTGAATCAAATACACATAATTATTTAAGATCCATATGTCACTTAAAATAAAGCAACAAATAAGAGCAAAAATTGCCCCCTTCCCTCCAAAAAACCCCTATTATTAAAATACATGTACAGAATACTTTTTTTAAATATTTGATTTTAACCTCCAGAGACTTACAAAAAAATTGCACAAGGGAAGCTAAAAACGATGTTTATTTAGAAATTGAAAAAATATGATACACAAAAATACCCGATGTTAACTATTGGAATCCAATCTCCATGCAAACACCACTGATTGAATATTTCTTTAATATTAAATGAAAAATAAAAATCTGCTATTGTAGTTTTCCTTTCTTTCATTAGAATCTAAAGTTAGAGATCTTCGCCTGAAGAAAAGATGAAATGTCGTGAAAGTCTTATTAAATTTAACCTTGAACGGATATTGACCTACATTCATTTCGTAGAGGGAAAGGGTCGTGATGAACAAATTTGTCCAATTCCAAATCATTTAATTCTCGACAAAAGAATTAAAAATGACACATGAATACGAAATCTGAGTTCTCTGTGTGAGAATAAGATGACAATTAACTTGTGAATGTTTGGTCATTTATTATATAGAATGCCTAATGTATTTCATACCACAGTATGGTACATGTATTATTACTAACATTAAAAATGTATACCGGTATTCTTATCTTCAGAATTATTTGCTCCTTTGTCCTTTCACTTTGATTTGGAAATTAAAGGACCATGATTTTTTTTTCCTTCATGAAAGCTTCAAATTAAGAAAAATTATTGAAAAATCATTGAGAGCCAGCATTTTCTCCAACGAATAATTTCGCACACTGAATTTAGTAGTTAGATGAATTGCTTTTAAATATTAAAGCAAAATAGCCTGCAACTTCGATCTCAAAATTTTTTGTTGCAAAATTGTAAATAACTATTTCAATGACAGAAAAAAAATAACGATAATAACTTCTGTTGTTCATAACTTAAAAATTTCTAAGCTTCAATTGAATCAAAATTACATTATTGACGTCCTGTACAGTTATGATTTCTTATATAAAACTGTATATTGGATTGTATATAGAAATCTTTCTTCTGCTTTATTTTAGTCCAAGATTGTCATAAAAGTTTAAATAACATACACATTTATCATAATTATACACATTTTCAGAGCAAAATGAAAATTTTAAAAATGCAGCTCATAAGCTATAAAAACCTTGCCTTACTTTTATCTACATTATAATGTCCTGCTATTCATTTTCTGTTCTAATGTCAATCTTAACTGAGGAAAATGCTTCGTCGTTTTGACAAATGGTCCTCATACATTTCTGAACATATCAATTAGTTTCATTTAGCATTCGTTATTTTAAATCTTGAAACTTGAATCTCCAGTCTCGAAATCCGTCTTTTGGGCTGTATTTTCTTGCATTTTTTTTTCAACAGCAATAACATTATTTATTGAACTCCCCTCGAAAAAAAAAATAATGTACACTCGTTAAAGACTCGTTAAAGTTAGTTTCACATAGCATTTGTTAATCTTTTATTTAAAATTCTTTGGATTTGCAAGACTATCGAAAAAAAAACTAATCTAACAATGAAAAATACTACTCTCTGAATCTCACACTGTAACATGTGTAATAAGCATGCAAAAAGCCTTGCCCGTCGTGCAAACCATGGCTCAGTAAAAAAAGATTAACTCTTCCTGTCTCCTCTGAATAGACGTATACAATATTGGGTTAACGAACAGTAAACAAGTTCAAAATCGATTGAAATGATATACAAATTTGGAGCTGAGCAAACTTAGACATAATTATACAATTAAAAAAAATGAGAATCAGATACCATGGAGGAGTAAGCATTCCCTCTCGATTAGTCACATCATTGTGGATTCTTTGTTGTAATTGTGCAAACGGAAAAAAGACAACTCATTGTGAAAAATAAACTAATAATTTGTCGGAAAAAAACATAAGCACGCATGCATTCGACCTAATGATAGATTGAATTAGCTTGTAATCTATCGTAGAGACAATGGCAAATGAACAGGACAGAATTTGAGTTTCACCAACAATGGACATAAAAATTAAGACTCCTTTCCTACAAAAGTTTCGGGATGTCACGAAGAAGTGACACCGGCTTTAAACGATTTCTTTAAGTATCAAAGGCATCATGAAAATGGCCATTATCAAATACTACTACCAAGTTGGATGACATATCAAGGAAAATGTTGATCAAAACAAAGATGAAAGTGAAAACGTCTATTTAAATGTGACGATTCAGCAAGATCGGATATAAATTTAAAAAAAAAAATTTTGTGGTTTGTATTTTTGGGGGATAAAATATATATCTTTAAGGAAAGCAGAACAATCAAAAAGGCATATACCAGATCTCGATGTTGATGCTTTCACAGTAACGAGTTTATCTGGCGTATATTTTGTTTTTAAGATGAATAAAAGAAAAATAGATATTAGAGACAACATTGTTTATTTATTTAAAAATGCTGATACGAAAATGTTAAAAAAATTTAATGTTGAGTCACGTTTTGTCCGCCGTCACATTATGTCAGCCGTCACGAAATGTCCGCCTCTTTTTCGGAAAAATCGTCACGTTATGTCCGCCGTCACGAAATGTCCGCCTCTTTTTGGAAAAATCGTCACGTTATGTCCGCAGTCACGAAATGTCCGCCTCTTTTCGGATAAATCGTCACGTTATGTCCGCCGTCACGAAATGTCCGTCTCTTTTTCAGAAAAATGGTCACACTATGTCCGCTGCTACAATTTTTTTTATTTAAAAAAAATTGCATTCTTTGCATCGCAATATGATTCAAGATTCTTTAACTTCTTAGTAACGGTTTTATAAAAATTTGACATTTTTACACCACAAAGTACAAAAATAAATCCTTTTTATAGAAATTGAATTCCTTTAATCTAGCCTTTAAAACCAGTGTTTATTAGCATGAAATGAGATAAGAGGTGATCTGTGGTGTCTTACAACGATAGTTCAAATGTTTTACACTATGCTTTTCTTTTTTTTTTTTTTAACAAATGAAATAAATACATGTACATGAAGTAAACTAAAGTGTCGAATAAGTACATGTATGAAGAAACATGCATTTTTTTCTAAATGCCTTAATTTTTTATCGAACTTTGTATTTGTTGATCAATTTCCAATCCGAAATGTATGAAAAGTACTTTGATTCACACTCCATGAAAAAAAAATATTAGAGGTTTAATAATTTTTCCTCTATAATCTGATTAATTATAATGATGAACTTTGGAGAAATACCGTGGGTAAATGCATATTATCTGAAGAACTCAGACATTTTTGTAAGTATTTCCCTGATTTTCAAGAGCTGAGGACCGGACAGCCTTATAAGTATGTTTTTTTTCTTATTTCAGTTATTAATCGATATCTGTGGTAAGATATGTATATGTAAATATATATGATAATTGAACTCTACTACAGACCAGTCGGAATAAATTATTAAATTAATTTGTATAATGTAAACCAATCTCTGTATTTTTCATTTTCATATGAGCTCACTGGTGAGAGTACTGTACACAGATCGTCCAGATTTGTATAACCAACGAAGAAAAAGGAACAATAAACTGATTTCAAGACCTTTTCGTAAGGAATGAAGATTTTAGTTGATTGGTGATTTTTTTTTCTTGAGGTAATTTTATTAAGGTTATTTAAAAATTCTATATAAAATCACTTCAGCTATATTTAAGTGTGTTTTATTGGAACACTTAATTGTGTTTTTAGATTAAATTATACATGTTTTTATTAAAAACCTTGAGAGATCTAGGTACATATCAAACGGGGTGGAAGCTTCTAGAGGTAAACTTGTGATTTGTTTGCAATGGCTGTTAGGGGCCAATGCTTCAACAGTCCAATATCCATTTATCTTTATTGTATGAATGTCTAAATATTTGTGAAAAAAAATTATGCTTTTTCTTTAAATGCACAATACTTTATTTACTGTCCTTAAATGTAAAAAAGAAAGATTATTGTCAATTATAAAAAAAATACTTAACGTTTTCTTTTTCATGGGGAAACCCTTATTTATACCTAATTTACTGAAATATTGTTTACTTGTCTAATTTTCAAAACGCTCTTATCCTAGAACCTTTTATTACGAAAGAAGAAATTATACTT